GAGAGAGGCGAAGCTGTGCTCCAGGGCCCCTCACTGCCCCCCAGCTGCACGGCCCGTAGCCCCGGTCCCCCGAAGTGCTCCGCCCGGGGCCACCCCACCTCTGCCCCCACTCACGTCTCGTGGGTCCCGAAGAAAAAGACTTGGTATTTGTTGGCTGTCGATTTCACCGCAGCCTCAGGCATCTCGTCAATCTGCGAACAAGACAGGGAGGCGAGCCAGAGTGAGCTGGCGTCCCGAGGTCGCAGATGTGGGGCCGGGGCGCTGACCTCTGGGGCACATTTGTGTAGTCAGACGGAGAGAGTCACCAAAGTGGTTTTGGAATCCTGCTTACCAGTGGAACTTCGCTCACACGAACTGAGACACCAGCGCCCCGTGGGGACCCTGGAGCCCCCCACTTTGCAAAGCAAACGGCATCTGTTCTGCCCTCCGCGTGCCAGATCCGGCCTGTGAGCTCCCCGCCTTTGCCATCTCCCCGGCCCCACCGCGGCCAGAGGGGCCTGTCCAAGTGTGGCATTTCCAGGGCCCACCCGTTCACCTTCCCCATGTGTCAGGGTCTGAACCCCAACGCTGCTGCCGATGTTTCTATGAGCGTGGGCAACCACAGAACCTCTCTGTGCCTCAGTTTCCTTCCTGTGAAGTGGGGAGTCGCTGTGCACTGAATGAGGGTAACGGCTCGTCCTCCCATGGGTGGCCCTTCTGCCCGCTGCTCGTCGGACTGACCCTGCGGCCTCCCAAACTCACTCACTCCACCCTCTGCCCTGCGGCCACTTCCTCCAGAAGGTCCCTTGCCTCTCCCGACCCGGTCAGCTTCCTAGATGAGACTCTCTGGGCACCTCCCCTCCTCAGCGCTCATCACAACTCTCGACTGCCTGGCTGTCCCGTCCCCACCTGACTGGTGTCTCTGTGGACTCTGCCCGCCCTGAAATCAGAGGGCAGCTCTGTTTTCATCCCCAGCACAGTGTCTGACACACAGCAGGTGCACACTAAAGACCGCTGAGCAAACCTCTGAAATAGCTAAAAGCAGACGGCTCTGGTTGAGTGGGAGGGCAAGGCCTCCCATTCCCCGAGGAGCAGCCCCCTCGAGACGTCTGGGGAACACTCTGAAAGCCACCTGCGGTAGTCGAAGTCTCTCACTTTACAGATGAGAAACTGAGGCCCAGAGAAGAGAAGTGATTTGCCCAGAATGACAGAGCAAGTCGCTGAGGGCCAGGCCTCGAGCTAGATCTGGGACTTGGTCCCTGCTCCACGGTCTGGGGGCTGAGTGCCCTGGTGCTGAAGGTGCAGAGGTCTGAGCTCAGGGAAACGGCGAGGCAGCCACCCAGCCACCCTCTCAGGTCAGGTCCTGGAGGCCCAGGCCCGGCCGAGGGGAGACTACAACTCCCAGCAGCACTTGCAGCAGACCCAGCAGCCTGGCTTCCCGCCGGACAGAGGCCAGGTGGCCATGTTGACTGGGGCCCCAGGAGCAGATAGGGACAGGCCAAGGCAGTAATTAACGCACCAAGACAGAGACAGAGTGCCTGACTGGGGGCCCGGGGAGAGTGGAAGCTGGGAGGGCGGACGAGCGCTGAGATACACCCAGGAGACGGGGTGGGGCGCTAGGCACCAATCTGAGGGGCATCTGGCTCCAGACCTGGAGTCTTCAGGCTCCTGGGCACCTCCCCCGCTTGCCCTGTGGCCTCTGGGGATAGAGGTCCAGCCCCTCCCCGCAAGAAGGCCGGTACCAACTGGGCCCTCCCCAGGACCAGGAGACACGGGCCTGAGTGCTGGGGGTGGGAAGGCACACTGTCCCCCCCAAACTGGATCTCCATTGCCATGACAACCCAACCCCGCCCCCAGGGCCACTCAGCAACCAGGAATGTGACCACTCCTCCCCCAGGCCCTCTCTCCGGATTGAGGAGGAGGGGACACTGACACACACCCCACCCCCAAGCCTGGAGTCTGGCACCTGAGTCTCTGGCTGTGCGAGAAAGGAAGGCTGGAGCTGGAGGGCCTGGGCCCTTCTGAGAAGCCCGACCTGAAGTGGGGGCTGAGGGGCAGTCAGTCCCGGGCCAGAACACCTGGGTCCAGTTGCCAGCTAACCCCCCCACCCTCTTCTTAGGAGTGGGGGACGTGAGAAACAAGATGAAAGCCTCCAGGGCTCAGAGGTCTCGGGGAAGCCTGCCCTGGGCCTCCGGGGGGGTCTCTCTGCACGAGGCGCGGGCAGAGCGGGATCTAAGCACAGTGGGCACACTGGACCCCGCATTTCCAGTGCCCACACCTGAAGCGGGGGCAGGGAACGTGCGATGAGGGGGAAACCGAGGCTCAGGAGAGGGGCGGGGTGAGTGAGGGTCTCTCCAGGAGCCACAGCAAAGCAGCTGGCGCCCACCGGCCTTTTCCTCAGGGAGGTAGCTGACCAGTGTGACAGAGGACCCAGGAGGCCACCAGCTGCCCAGCCTCAGGGGTGGGGGAGAAACAGAAGAATGGATGGGAATTAAAAATAGACAGAGCACAACACGCCCGAGAGACCCGCCCTGCCGGCCTTCTGCCAGACAAAGGGGGGGCCCAGAGAGCGGGAGGCCGGGGCGCACTGGCGTGTACCCCAAAGTGCAGGCTCCTGTGGGGGAGGGGCCGTGAGCGGTGTGCTCTTCCCACTTAAGGGACTCCCAGCACCTCATCCCGAAAGGGGAGAGGAGCCCCTCTGCAGTAGACCCTCCATCCTTCGGGTACAAAGGAAACGTCTTTCCTGCATCTGGAAGCGAAGGGCTGTCCCTCCTAGACCCAGCAGATGACAGCAGGTCTCGGGGAGGCCTGCACCCCACAACAGACCTGTCTCCCAGGCAGTGCCTTCATATCCAGGCTGACTCAGAACAAGTGAGTCAAGGCTAAGTGGGTCAGGGTGGGGCCAGATGAGCACCGAGGACCCCACTGCAGCCCCTCACTGGCCCAAGGGCAGAGGGGGCTCCGCTACTTGTCAGCCATCCCAGGACCCCCCAGCAGGTTACTTCCCCTCCGGGCCCGGCCCACCCACTCCCTCTGCAACTGCCCAGCTCCGTCGGAAGGGCCCGAGCACGAATTCCTGTCCTCCCAGGGCCCGTGGACACGCAGAGGGTTCTGAAGGTCCCAGGGGAGGGATGGGGGATAGGACCAAACACCTCTGTCCCAGCCTCAGACCAAATCCAGGCCTGGGGTGGCCTGCCCAGCTCAGAGGAAGGCAGCAGGGAAGGCCAAGCCCACATGGCCCGCCAGCCAGGGTTCTGACCACCACACCCAGGGCCCAGGCCCCACCTGACCCAGGATCCGGAAAATCTGGGGCAGGAGACGGTTGGGGCCGGGAAAGTGTGGCAAACCCAGCAGGCAAAGGCAAGGTGGTGCCTGGGAGTGGGGGAGGGGCAGAGGGAGGACAGATGGGTGAGGCCCTCTGGCCGCTCAGGTTTTCTGGGACCAGACTTTCTGGGCCCATGAAGCAGGAAGGGAGAGAGGAAGGAACCAAGAAAAATCCCTGAGTCTTGGAGGTTAATTGTTAAGTGCCTGGAGACCCCCCAGGAAGCCAGGCAGGAGGAAAGGGGAAGGTTAGCAGCAGCGGAGCCACCCTGCCAGGCAGGTCGGCCCACCACGTGGCCCCTCTAGCTGGGCTCCCCGCAGCATCTCACCCCGAGTCAGCTGCGGGAGGCCCCGTCTCCTCCTCCACCTCAGGAGGGGCCGGGCTGCTACTCCAGAAACTAAGACCCATCCACGGGCTGGTGAGGAGGCTCCGATCTGTCTGTCCTTTTGGTGGTCAAGGGGGATGCGTGTCGGAGATAAGCGCCTTGGGCGTACAGCTCCCCCAGCTGTGACAGAGCACACATGGCGGGGCCCCAGCCCTGGGATCCCATCCGTGGCTCTCCCCAGCCCTAACTTTATCTAAAGGGTCCAGGACTCCACCTCGGAAGAGACTCAGCCTCCTGTCCCACCCCCTGCCCTGGAGGACAGTGGGAAGAGACAAAATGGATGGCCGCCCCAGTCCCAGGCACTGCCCTCACTCCAAAGGCCACGGAAACCTGGAGGGCTTCTCACAGGGCCCAGGAAGGCCCATCCGTGTCTGTGCCCCGCCTTCCGTAATGCCTACGGGGTTCTCTGCAGCCCACGGCCAGCTGACCGCCCCCCCCCCTCACACACACCTTAGCCCAGCTTCTGGACTTTGTCCCACCCCAGGAGGCAGGAGCGGTGAAGACCTGGGCTCAGTTCTTGGCCTGCCCACCAGGGCCTTGGCATCCAGGCCAAGATGCCAGTTGGATCAAAGGTGGAGGGTAAAGTACATGAGTGTTCAGTGTCCCGCTCCACGCACATGTGTGCACAAAGCTGCCGTGGCTGCCGCCTCACGTAGCCTCCCCCAGACCCCGAGGAGGAGGCCCTGGAAGGAGGAGGCCCTGGAAGCCGGAGGCCCTGCTCCTCTGTACGGTCCTCTCATCCCAGGGGCCAGGCGTCCAGAAGTTTCAGGGACCCGGGAGGTCAAGGCATATGGGGTCAGGCACACTCCTCAGGAGGGGGGGACAGATTGAGGAAGAATCCCCAGGGCTTTCTCAGAGTGGCCCCAAAGTGGGCCTGACACTGAACAGACCCCACGGGAGCCTGGGGCGACCTCCTAAGTTCACAATAGGGTCTGGGCCAGAGACTCGGCTCCGCCAAGAGCAGCCCAAAGCCCTCAGGCGCCTGCCGTCCAGCCCTCTGCCTCTGGCTTTCACCGGGCAGGAGTCTCACGCTCCAGGCGCCCAACACCAGGCCTCCCCGCACCGCAGTGCGCCCCGTGACACCCCCAAACTCCTCCAGCACCCTTCAGGTCTCTCCCTCCCTCCTTCCTTCACCTGTCTCGGTAGGGGAGACAAGACTAGACGCCAGGCCGGGCCTCTGGGCCCCACCCTCCCACCTGGCCAGGTGCTAGAAGGGGGGAGGGGCCCTCATAGTGGCGGGCAGATCAACCACATGGCGGACGGGGCCTTTCTGGCGGGAGAGGCTCATATCTGGGGGGGAGGGGTGGAGAAGAAAGTCGGGCTCCCCCCGCCCCCACTCACAGGCAGTCTGGAATGGACTTCCCAGTCCCGCGGGGGCCCTGCCACCCTCAGCCCCATATGTGAGTTGCCAGCATATGGAGGTATATTTCCGTGGGGCTGAGGAGTGAGGAAGGTTCTGGCGGATGATTTCCGAGCCAGGCAGATCCCTCGTACGCCGCCCCCGG